TGAGGACACAGAATACTCTGCAGATACAGGTGGGGAGAGCAGCGGGCATCCGAGGAGAAGCTGGAGCCTGTGCAGCTCCTCTTCTCCCTGCCGAGCCGCGGCTGTGTTGGCCGCCTGGCGCCCCTGTTGCCAATGGCGCCATGTGCTTGCCATGGCAACAGGGGCAAGGTGGCACAGCCAGCGGGCCCTGGCTGCGCCCCTTTCAGCTGCACCTTAGGCGAGTGCCTCACTTGCCCCATGGTAGCAACAACCCTGCATGACAGCAGCATGTTGCTTTTAAAGAAGAACTTCAGGCATTTACAATATTAACCCTTGCAGTGGGGCTAGCCCCCGAACTGCAAGGGTTAAATGCTCCTTTTGGCCTACAATCTAAAATATAAAAGATATACCCACCTTATCCTCAGCCATGCCAGGCACCTAGACTGGTCCCCACAGCTCTTTCTTCCCTGGGCTCCGGCGGTCTAAGGACCCATGACGTCATCACCTACATTCACTTGCATTGCACGGGGACGCTGACGGACATTCCATTGGATCGGGTGAGTATATCTTTTTTATTTTAGACTGTTTACTGTGCCACATAGCGCGACCGCGTGACGTCTCACGCAGGGCCACGTCTCCTGACGTTTCCTCCTATCCTATCTGAGAGCAAAAGTGCATGGTGGAAGTTTAGAGACATCCCTGTCCAGGAGCAACAGATAAGGTGATCCTATGCTGCTGTCCTGGGTGAAATATTAGGGCTTAAGAGCCAATTAACACTATAGCGTTGTGCTAAGCGCACATTGCCATGCGTTTAGCACGCGCTATCACACTGTATACCATGCATGCAGTACTGTGTGCTAGTTGTGCTGTGTTGCCTTTCATTTGAATGGCATTACAGCTGACCTCCTGTCGGCCATGCACTGCAGTGCAGCCTAATGTGCAGTACCACAATACCATGTTATATTACAAAGAAAAGTAGTGCATGCACTACTTTTTTCTACTTTTTTTAACACAACGCACGGTATTGTGGTACTGCATGCTGCACTGCGGCGCATGGTCATCGGGTGGTGTGCTGGGGTGCCATTAGAATGGCTTTGTGCTGACAAAGAGCATGCTGATAGGAGGAAAAAGGGGTTTGAATGATGATGACATTTATCCGCAGAATATAAATTACTGCAGGCAAAATGTCTGGATATTTTCTTCTTTAATGGGCTATCCATTTTTATCTTGTTGCTTTTGGCTGGAGTTCTGCTTAATTATCTAAAATAAGTAACATAATAAAAGTGTAATCATCAGCAAAGTTTCACGGAGGTTTATATAGGGCACACCTGACTTTCACCTGATGAAAGTCAAACCAGGAAACCATTTTCATGCCTCATTTTGGAGACATAATTGGTTCCTAGGGAAGTGATGCCGCCTGAAATTCTAATTCATGGCAGCCTGGCCTAATAAAATATCAGCCTTCGGGTGACCAGGTGCACATTGAAGGGTTAATAAACCAGAATTATAGTGTGGTGTTATATAAATGGACTGCGTGCTATCGCCTCTCAGTACAAAGGGGGTGTGCAGACAAATGCAGAATGAAGTATATGTAAACGCTATCGCTAAGATCTGATATGAGCTTGAACACTTCATTTTACAAATTGGGCTGCTTAATGCACATTAAATGCGGAATTCCGCTCATGTAATGCACGCACTTACTGGTGGGAATGGGCCCTACATGGGTCGCTTTAGAGGTTATCCTTTGAGGTTGTTGAGTTTTAAAGGATACTTTATTGTTGTAGGGGGGTTTAGTGTTAAGGGTTATTTTTTAGGGTTAACTGTTGAGAAATTGATTTAAGAGTCAATTAGTATGGAAGGGTTAAGATTTAAAAGGCTCTTTTTTTAGGGGGTTAGGTATTGGGGCATTAAGTTTTGTGGGAGACCGGTCTTGAAAGGATTAAAGGGGGCTGCCGGCATGCATTGGCCTGCCGAGAAAATGTTGATAAGTGGCTGTAAAAATGCTACTGCCGTTAACATGGTGTATCTTGCAACCGATTCCTATTATTTTTTATATTTAATCCACACATGATAATAATATAACAACCAGGGTTATCTCCATGAAGAGGCAGCCTGAAGCAGTAGCCTCAGGCGGCATCTCATTGGGGGGGGAGGCCGCAGGTGTGGGGCAGCGGCAACATGGTCGACTAACAGCAATCCCCACCCCCCAGTGACAGCTCGGCTGCTGTGCTTGGCCACCCGCTGCCTCCAGCCCGGCTGGCAGCTCAGCCTCCTGCCGCCTCCTGCTTGCTCACCCGCTTCCTCCAGCCTGACCCTCATTTCCTGGCCGCCTCAGATGGCGAAAAAGGAAGGGGCAACTCTGATAATAACACCCACACTTCTGATTTGAACTTAACCCCTGATGAAGTGGGAGTGGTTTGGCCCCCAGAAAGTGTTGGCTGCTTTTTGTCCTGCTGTGAAAAAAATGTGGGACTCGTGGACGTTTGGTGTTCTTATTAGGCTGTATGTATGTGCACTTTATTCAGTGATATCATGCTGAATTGGGGCAGCTGAGTATAACAATCAAGGTTGGGGGTGGTGGGGTCCTCAAAGTCATTGTAACCAAAAGGTGGAGTTAGACTTTACATTTTCAGGTAAGGGAGGGTTGATGTAGGGGATACATCACTTTTTAAAGCCCTGGACAACCACACTCTACGTTGCTCCTGAGATCTGTGACCCTTGCATCAAAAGCCACCAGTTCCAGTCTCCTCGGACTTAGAATTGAAGTACAACTATGGCCTCCCATTAAAAAATTCATGTGCTGCAGCACTTAACACCTGTACTTACCGTTTTCCCTTAATCCCCCTGCAAAGTCCCACATATACCTGTTGGTCTTGCCAGTGAAGTCCACCTAATGCGGCTTCCTGTGAGAGTGTGGCAACGACGATGCACTGATACTGAATTCAGAGCAGAGTTGTCACCCTCACTTAGGCTGTTCCTGCTTGCTCTACAATGGTTGAATATCTCTGTCCATTCCAGAGTGCCTATATGTTGGCAGCTCTGCTGTTTGGTCTTTACAGCTGCTTCTTCTTCAGCTCCCTCCACTCTTCTTTGAAGCCAATCTCCATTCTTATAGTTCTTGGTTGGAGTGTGGAAGGGTAAGACTTCTCTGTCGAGTTTATTTACCAGTCTGTGATCCCGCAGGGAACCCTACAGGAAGTGAGGAGAATCTCCCCAGCAGGGACACAGCCAAGCAAACTTTTTGCCCTTATTTTTAGACACTTCAGGAAGAATTGCCAATTTGTCAGATACGGAGGGATAAAGTAAGCAGGGAAGATAAGCCTCTGCCACTGTATTTTCTACAGATTAACTGAACAGACAACTAATGCAAATGCTATCTCTCACAGTATGATAATATCATGCGGGCAGCCAGGCGGCTGTGACTGTGGGAGGCATGCCGATACTGGTTATTTACCAAGGCCCATTGCTCATTCCTAGTGCAGCCCAGGAAATTTGTAAATTACCCCCTTGCTGGAAGTATGAGGCGTCTAATTGTTTCTTGCTGAACTGAGAAAGGGGAAAACTAAGCCTGATTCCAGTAATTTCCAGATATCTCATTACTGGATTTAATTAAGTTTTTACACTAGCTCTATAAACACCGGGATCCCATTCGGTTGAGTATCCGAAAGGAGAGTTGTGTGTCGATTCAAGACGACGTTTGCTTGTGGCGAGCCAGCCATGTCAAATGAGAAAACATATATTATATCACGTGTGCCATTAAGCAAAGGGCAAGTATTTCTTCTTTATCTTCACCCCTAGACAGAATGAGCAATTAACCCTTCCAGTGCGTGGGGTAGACCTACTGTAAGGGTTAATTTTTAAAAATTCTGGAGTTCTTTAAGTTTGTTGATCTTTTTGTTGTGTAAATCTGTATTGTTTTTTTGCAACTGTTCAATAACTTTATTTTGTTGTCATCGCTAAGCTTTTGTACCTAGACTTTGTCCTGAACCTCAACCTTCAGTAATTCTTTATTCAACGACCTTTTGTACCACTACTGAAAGCTTGTTATAGACAGCGCCACACTGGAAGACTAAAGAGAAAAACATTTGTAATGCCCGAGCAGTCCTTGCATGTGTGTGATAAATGAGCCATACTGTTACATTTATTCTGTTTTATAACCTGCATACTAAATATAAAAGAGAATGTAAAATGAATATACAATCAGATTGAAGATGGGTGGCAGCTGTAGAGAGATATTCTAGTAGAGGAGAAAGTACCACCTCTCTTCCAAATTTCCCTTTTGCTGTAGCGGTGCTTACAGAATGTGGATTGCAGGCTTCCTGCAGGCACGGTCTAGCCACCAATGGATCATTATTTCAAATGATGTTCCTCAACCAACTTCACATTGGGTGAACTTACATGTTTGTGCCTATGGGGAAGGGTGGGGAATACATTTACCAGGTTGCTCAGGGAAAAAACAATAGCGATTAACTGCAGGTCACAGGAAGAGTTAGGGTGAGGGCTACAGGCAGAGTTGGTGCTTGGATTACATAAGGGCTTATTGGAGGGTTTAATGTGAGGGTTACGGATAGGGTAAGTGTAAGAATTATGGGGACAATTATAACGAGGAAGGACTTTTAGAATGAGGCACTGGGAGCTCTGTGTAGAAAACTACCAGCACTAATTTCCCAAATGCTGAAAGCTAAAATAATAATGATAGGTGCTTCCACCATGGTGCCTACCCCTATTACCCACCTTCTTCTCTGACACTGAGGAAGCATGTTGGGTTTGCAAGATCACTTTTTTTTTTCTATAGGAGCTTGCACACAGGAGAGGGAGGTAAAGAGAACCTTTCAGATCACCCCTCCTCTAGAGGGCCCCCATGAGGCTAGGTTCTCTTCTTATCTCCCAACACAAATGGCTATGATTCAGCAGCTCCTAAAATAGTTCTGACAAATCACAAACTCCCATCCCATTACTGAAATAAATATTCTGAGTTGAATATTTGTGTTCACACTTCGTTTAATTTTCTTTGTATCCAGGTTCAATGTGGACTCCCGGAGCTGCAATATATCAAAGCACGTGAGTGTCACCAGTGTTGGCAGTAATAATATTTGTTTGTAGGTCGTCCATCAATCATCCCATAATGTGCAGCTGACTCCCTCTGGCACCAATTCCTGCGTTCACCACGATGCATATTTCTGTGTGTATTTATATATGTTCTGTAGGTAGAGGTCTAATCAATTCTCTTTGTTCCTCTCTCTTGCTTCCATGTTGTTGGAACTGCAGAAGGTAAATATTGATATAGATAAAAATATTGATTCTGCTTGTGAACCACAAAAGAGAGCATCTTAAAAGCGATGTGTAACAGTTGCTTGTCCATTTTATTTACTTTGTACATTTAGACATTTAGCAAGTAATGCTTTCTGCCGCTTTTTCATTATTTGTATACAATCTTTCTTTTTCAAATAGTTATTTGATACAAGGTGCATGCATGACTGTCTGCTGGAAGAGGATGCTGGATTTGCTGATAGGAAAGCCCAGAACTGCATCCATAAATATCACAAGGCACTTGGTCAAATTATCTGACCATACCCAGACACCTGACATTTTCTGCCACTTCACTAAACAGTTGCAAGGGACATTGCAGACGCCTCCAACACTATCATATGAAGGAGATGGAACAAAGTTTTCTAACCTGTCTAATCTCTTCCTCCTTGACAGGCCTTAGCCAGTGGTGTCTGCTAATGCCCCATAGACAATGAATCAGCCATCCTGGCAGAAGGTCATCTAAACCATGGGTATCCTAAGATGGTAACATCTTAGGAAGGTGAAGTCAGTCCTTAGTCAGTGTTTTTCTGATCTGTCCTGATACACAGCTTTGTGTCTTAAGGCCATTTTACTTGGAATTCACCACCTGCAGACCTGCCAGTAATAAATATGAGATATGTGGAGTTTCATAATTACCAAATAAAAAAAATTAAAAATAGCATTTAAAAAACATTAGTGCACTTTTACAAGTACAGCTCTCCTGCCTGCCTACTTCCCTCCCATCCCAAGATTAAAAGTAACCCACACGATATGCATACTTACCTGAATTTCACAGCTGGGATTTACTATAATCTTGACATACTGCATCTGAAATCATCTTGCCGCTGGCCACATGTGTGCAGTCACTACCCATACGACCTTTAAGAGGCCATCACATGAGCATCTCCAGTATGACCATATGACCCTACGACCCATTCGACTTTTAAGATGACATCTCTTGAGCATCTCAAATACAACCATACAACCTTTAAGAGGCTATCTCTTGAGGATCTCCAATATGTCCATACGACCCATACAAATTTTAAGAGGCCATCTCTTAAGCATCTCTAGTACAACCATTCAACCCATATGACCTTTAAGAGGCCATCTCTTGAGCATCCCCAGTACAGCCATTTGACCATATGACCTTTAAGAGGCCATCTCTTCAATGTCTCCGGTATTCAAGTCAATACTGTTTCTTTCTGGGGGATTCCGCCACCAGTCCTGAATTTAGCAGAACATAGCCTGCTCCAGCAGTGAGATTCCACTCCAACGCACCCATTGGTCTACCCTGCCCCCAGCAAACACACCTCAGTCCCCAGTATCCATGCCAGCAATGAGATGGCCCCTTCAGTGCTCACATGGTAGATTTTCCACCAGCAGTATACGTGCACTAATCCCTCAATGGCAAGTTTCTTGTGTATGATAATGTGTATGAGACTGGGGCTACACAAGTGCCTAAAGTCCACCTCCAGCCCCCTGTTCCACAGTCCTCCCACACCCCTCCCTTAAGGTATAAATATATACCTTAATTCTATCTGTCTTTTGGCCAATCCAGTGATATGTCAGAGGTCCTTCCTCTTCTTGCTCACCAACTCCAACCCGATTTGTCCTGTGCAATAATATGCACAGTTTTGCTACTATAAAAAAATCCTGAAATGAATATAAAACGATTTTACATAACTTAATATGGTGACTTTTATCCTGAACACATCTCTGATTCAGAGCTGTTGATTTGATTAATGCATTCAGAAGGCAGCTCAGTGGCAGAGACTCCTTAGGAGCTTCTAAGGACATTCCATGTTCTCAGCATGGCGGCAGTGGCAGGTGGGTGTGCTTGGCATGCGGCCCTGAAGATGCAGCAGAATTGCTTAGGAGAGAGGTCTATTCCAGAATGATTCCTGGCTATATATAGCCCCTTTCCGTGGAGGTCCACATCCTGCCTGCATTGTAGCAAAAGGACCATTAGCTGGGTTTATGCCAAATAAAATAAATCTAACTGCAGCCTGAGCTTATAAGCAGGAAAAATTCAATAAAGGTAGTCATGAGCTTGTCTGCGAATTTGGAAAGGCTTGCTTATAATGTGCTGGTTAGTTGGTTTATTATTATTATTAATCTGTTTTCATATGTTATCCAATGCTAATTGCATATTGTGGTTTCTAGTTATTGTGCCCTCTGGTAAATGTATAATACAATTATTTAATCTGTTAATGCGATCATTAAAGAATGGGCATGTTTTAATCATCTCTAGTTCCTCTAAAGAGAAATGCTAATGGTTTTGGGTCAGATTTATTTTTATTGCTTTTTATTATTATTATACAGGATTTATATAGCGCCAACAGTTTGCGCAGCGCTTTACAATATAAGGAAGACATTACAATCACAATACAATTCAAGACGAGATGGTAAGGAGGGCCCTGCTCGTGAGGGCTTACAATCTAATAGGTTTATAGTTTTTTCAAAGCCCAACTCCACTCAAAATCTATTTCCGTACCATACCTCCCTCCCACCCAACTCCAACCTATCCTGATATTGTTTTTTTTTCTTAACTTTGAAGAAAATTATTTTCACCTGAGTTCTCACATCCAGGTTCCTCAATGGCGCTGTTGCACAGTGCTAGTCCAGCGCCCCCCAGTAACCCTCGCTAGCCAGTCCCTTGTCTCCCCTCGGGCCAACATCTGTAGTACTCTTGATCCTAAAGGGGATACCTCCAGTAGGCAGTCAATGGGAATTGTCCACATCACACAGGCAGTGATGTGGACACCCAGGAGAAGAACCCCTGTAGGAAGTACCAAGCGCTGGATGATCACGTAACCCCATGTTAGGGTAAGTGAAAAAAAGGACTTAGAAAGTTTTTTTTTTT